TATTATGTTGAAAAATGTGTTTTTCATCAGCTTGTTGGAAGTTTGGTTGATAGCTAATTTATATGGCTGCAGTATGCTCTCTTATAATGCAAACAACATTACAACATTCATCATTTGGTATGATTGAAAGTAAGTAGGCCTTGTTCACTTTATCAACTCACCACTAAGTGCTGACAACATTAAGCAATGAAAAACTCACTTCATAAGAACTAACTAGTGAGTACTCTGGCGTTGTCCCGGGCTGCTACTGTTATAGATGTGCAATTGATTTTTTTTTTTTTAAAAGCTTTTCAAAATTGCAATTGTCATTGTCAACCAAAATTGAGTTATTCTTTGATTATCCTTTTTTATTTATTTTTTATTATTTTAATTAAACCTTGGGGTTTGCACTTATATAATTTTTTTTACATATTAATAACATAGTTGATAATTGACTTAGATGATTAAATAGTCATCTTTGTTATGAGAGGTTGGGGGTTCGAACCCCCTTATCTTTATGTTTTTATATGGTTTTTCTTAAGAACCCACCATTGAATTATTCTCTATCTTTGAGAGCACAGGGGATAATGACTTTCAAATCACATTCCAAATTTTCAATGAAAAACAAACAATGAACTTTTAGGATCATTTTCCCTATTCACTTTAATCCCAATGGTTACAATGAGGTTGCTTGGTGGAGAGCCAATTTTTATTAATAACAATTTTTCTTCCAAATCCTCTATTGCGAGCGAAATCGTTCACTAGGTCCTTAGAATCTTAGATAGGCTTCTTGGGTATGCAATATTTAGTAAGCAACATTTGGGGAAGCTTACTAGAGAGGAGATTCTTTGCTTATGGATGGCCACTAGTGAGGAGTTTGGAAGAAGGTTGAATATTGGGTTTTTGTTCATGCAATGTTGTACTTCAGTTGCAAAGGAAAAGAAAATCGGAGAAATTTTGTGATTCTATGGTCACGAGGTTGGCCAAAATGTTCTACCAAGAGGAGCTTCTTAGACTAAGTAACTCAAGAATTTGAAGTTCATTGCACCCACTAGGAATCCCAATGTTTTCAAGTGGCTTGTGCGCAAAAACCACCATTACTTATTCTCAAATTCGGCCTCCACCTCTATTACTAGGAATGCTCGAAATGTTTGGAAGGTGCCCAAAGAAAATGGGCGGGTGGATGCTGTGATGGATGATGGTGGTGAAGATGACGGAGATGATAATGAAGAGGAGGAGGATGAGCAACAGCAACCACCACCACAACAACAACAACAATTCCCACGAGGTATGATTGATTTTGAGTAATAATATAGGAAAATAAACCTTGGAATGCAAGATCTCTTTGAGACCCAACAAGACATGTTCCTCCAACAACAAGCCTTATATAACTCGAGTGTCAATCAAGGCAAAGTTACCCCCACGGTCAATTATCCATATTGGTCGCCACAACACAATCCAGTACCGTCTTTGGGGGGGGGGGGTGTGACAACAAACCCACATATGCTAATAGGCAAGTCCTATCGGATTTAACATTGAATTGCGGTCGTTCCCTAATGATTCCAGGTGGGAGTGACTATAGGGGGTATAAATTGCAACTGTTTCGTTTTATAGGATTTGGATCTCTAATGTTTGGATCAGATCGGATTTGGATCCGTTTTGATGGATCGAATCTAGATCTGAATCCTATTTTTGAGATCTAAATCCGACTCATAGATCCGTTTTTTTTTATTTTTATATATTATCATGTTTTTTTCAAGATTTATATATTAATTAATTTGACTAGTCTTATATAAATACTAGTTGATAAAAGTTTATGATAAACTTTTAGGCTTAAATGTTTAATACAGTCATATAATCCCTATTGATAATTTATATAGTATCGTACTTTTTGTAGTTTTATTTCTAAATAGAAATCTATATTATTATTGACTTGAAATTATTTATATTGAATTTAAACTCTTGATGCAAGTATTTTTAGCAAAATAAAATTATTTTTACTGATTAGAACTTATCTATACATGTTCTCTATTTTTTTAATAAATTAAATATATTTATGTTATTATTAACTTGAAATTATTTTTATTGAAAGTATTTTTTTATACCAATATTCACTATTATTTTTTAAACTAAATTAATATTTCGTATCATATAAATAATATATAAAGCTAAACTTTTAGCCATGTCACGAGACTCCGACACTTAACATTCCAACTTTTCGCCAGGTGTTGCGCCACCTTGGACAGATTTAGATAGATTTCATAAGATAAAAAGGTTAGTTAAGAATTCCATTTCAATCAAATTAGGATAGAATTTTAGAATAAGATTGTTAATTTAGAGTGTTATTTTCGATAAAATATCAAATAATAAACTAATAATAAGGCCACAAGACAACATTTAGCGTTTTAACTTTTTGTCAAAGTGTCAGTACCATGTTGAATAGATATAGATAAACTTTGTAGCATAAAAAGTTAATTTAGAATTCTATTTTCAATCAAATTTGGTTTATTGTTATTTAAAGTTTTATTTTAATAAAATACCAATATTTCATATATACAAATTGTATTATAATTTTATCTTTAAAGTCCATAAACAACCCGGGCCGCCCGGGGCACAAAACTAGTATATTATAAATGGATCTTATTTTAAAGAATTTTGTTAAGCAAATTTTAAGATGGAAATAAAACTGAGTATGATATTTATTAAAAATTATGATTAATTTTGTATATATGAAATAAGTATATCTACAATAAAACTCTATATATCAATTTTATCTTGAAAAATCTATCCAAATATCGCTTAGTGAGTATCATATGTGTCACAATAAAATCTAGTTTTCGCCTACATGGCGAATAACTGGAATGCCAAGTGTCACTGTCTCGTGCTTGGTTGCGAGTTTGGCTTTTTATATTAGTGATATGATATATACCTATAAGTTTCTTTAGTATTACATACTTTGTTTGTTATTTTAATATGAACTAAACTTTAATTATTTATTTATTATTTTAGAAAATTAATGGTTTAATCATGTGTATATGTATTAATTGAACTTATAAATCTATATTTTGGCTCATTTTCTACAAATAAAAGTGTTAAAAGTAACAAATTTTTGAAAAAAAAATAGGGTTTTTCTACATTATAACCCTCCAATTTTCCGTTTTCTACGATGTGCCCTCCCTTTTTGAGAAATCTGCATTGTAACCTTAAAATACATTTAGTTTCTATACGGTAACCTTACCGTTAACAAATTCCGTTAGTGGGGCCTACTCACCATTTTATAATTTTTTTTATCAATTTGCGTGTTGAAAATGGTTCCGTTGAAGGTTTTTGGGGTATTTTGGACCTAAAGGAACCAAATTGAGCTTAGATTTAGCAAAATAATAACACAAATGCCTCGTTTTGCATATTAAAAAGTCTCGATTTACGTGTTTACGTATTTAATATGCAAAACAAGACATTTGTGTCATTTTTTTGTGAAATCTGAGCTCAATTTGGACCCTTAAGGGCCAAAATACCCCCAAAAACCTTTAACGGAACCATTTCTAACACGCAAATCGATAAAAAAATATAACTAACGGAATTTGTTAACGCCACGATAACGGCAAGGTTACCGTATAGAAGCTAAATGTATTTTAAGGTTACAGTGTAGATTTTTCAAAAAGAGGGGGCATATCGTAGAAAACGGAAAGTTGGAGGGTTATAATGTTGAAAAACCCTAAATAATATATGCGGACCCGAATTTGTGGATCCGGATCTGGATCCTGTAATTTCTATAATTTTGGATCCGCGAATTCGGATCTAGATCCAGATTTGACTCTATGTCTTAAAAACGGATCTGGATCTAGATCTAGATCCGGTCCGTTGCCATCTCTAATAGGGAGATCCCAGCTATCCCCATGTTGATCCTAATCACCCCGCACCATTGACTATGCCTCCCTAGTTGGATCCTTTAGCCTCTTGGCAAGAAGATCTTTTCTGAGGCCATTACGTGAGCAAAATCGGTTACTCGGTCAGTTTCAATGGACCCGGAACCGGGTCCGAGATTTTGGAACTAGAACTGGAACTGGTTGTAACCGGGTCCCGTGGTGGCGGAACTGGTCCCGGAATTGGTGGGAACCGATTCCAAGACCGGGTACCCAGTTCTTATTTCAGTTATTTCCCAAAGTTAATACTAAATTGCAATAAAACTTTAACTACAAAATTAATTTCTGAAAACCCCAACTAGATTATATTGATTTGTCAAAATTCAGTAAACACTATAAAAAAAAAAAAAATCAGTAAACGATTATAATATCAATATAAAATTAATAAAAAAAATCCCCAAATGTGATACTCCATTGCTTCATTCTTTGCAATTCTCAAATCATACAACCCAAAATAAGAATAATCTCCTAAACTATTGAAAACCTTTACTTGTTACATAAATGAGAACAAGTTTTTAGAGGTAGGAAATTAAAGAGAGAAAAAGAAGTACTGTGAAAGAGGAAAAAAAGGTTGGAGTGAGAATGAAGCGTAAGAATGAAATGTTAGAGAGAGGCTAAGAGTTTTAGGGTTTTGTTTGATGGTGGGTTGAAAGTTTTATGAGCAATTAGGCTGTAGATAACTCTTTAGTTTCTTAAAATCACAAACAATCTACATACTATATTACTATGTATCATATCTAACCGGGTACCCAGTGGGTACCGGTTCCAAAATTTTAGAATTTGGAACCGGAACCGGTACAAACCGGGTCCTTATTTTTGGAATTGGAATTGGTCCCAGTTTAACCGGTTTCGGTTCCGGACCCACCGGGTCTTGACCGGTTCCGGTCTCGGAACCGGGTACCCATAATTTTTGCTCAACCCTAGTGGGTACCCTCACGGTTCCCCATTTGACTTTTCTTATGAAGAGGACAATGATGAGGCAAGCCCTAGTGGCCACTAGTCCTTCTTCCATGGTTTTTGAGAGTGTCATCATAGTCAATGGTGTGACTTCATATGGGTGCTTGTTGTGTTGTTGCTCTATTGTTTGATGATGAGTGAATAATGTGTGATGATACGGGTTTTGGTTGTTTTTGCATGTGGCTTGTTAGACTTTGGAAACAAATTGTTCCCTACGTTTTTAAATACTTGCTCCATTTCTCCATGCGCGGAGTTTCAAGAGAAATTGGAGAAAGTAATAAAATATGGAGGTAGTGGCGGATCCAGGATTTCAGAGCTTGTCACCCTGAATTATTGATGACTAGGAGGATTACATTTAGTGAAGAAACTAGCGATATTATGCATTTTATTTGTAGTACGTTTCCGCTTCATTTTGAAAATCATTTAATAAATAACAAATCCAGCAATTCAAATATACAATCAAATATACAGTATTTCAGTTCATTTGAATACAAATAATACAATCAAATATCAATCAAATCTGAAATAAAATCAAACTATCAAAGTATAAAACAATAAGGTCAATAATCAACTAATTTAGACTACAAAGTACCAATTTTACCAAATAAAGTTCAGTTCAATTCAACATTTCAACACCACAATGAACATATTGAACAACCCGTCAAAGTGTCTAGACTATGAAATTATAAAAGACTGAAATTATAATTGATTAATTAATGAACACAATAATGAATAACAAATCAACAATTCAATCAAATGAATGAAATTATACATTATTAAAATTAAAACTAAATAACAAATTAAATAGTTCATAATTTCAATTTTAATACAATAATACCTTGCTATGCTTTAACGGTAGTCACTTGCTCACTTCGGTCGGTGGTGGAAGGCGGTGTGGCGGCGCGCCAGACCTGTACCGGTTGCCATAGATCCAAGGCCCGGTGGCTGGTGCGTACTGCGGTACTGGTACGGTGGGCTGGTGGCTCGTCCAGCGTCCGCGATCAGAATTGATGTGAGAGAGTGAGAGAGGGAGTTAGAGTTGTGTCGTTTGAGACTTTGAGTTTCGTTTGGTTCATTGGTTGTTCCGTTGTTTTTTTTTTTTTTTTTTTTTGTTAATAAATTTTTTTTTCCTACTGAGTCACGTGACCCAGCACGCACACATGTAGATTCGTCAATGGTAATGGGGTAGGTGGAAGAATAAAAAATTATAAAAAGTAAAAGTATTTAAGAGAATTGGAGGAGAGAGAATATAAAATTAATAAAATATTATTTGTGTTGGGACTATTAGTTGAGAGAAATAAATAAAATATTGTAAAACCTTTTCAAATATGGAGAGTGGAGCAAGTTTTTTTAAATAGAAGGAGTACATACCAAAGAGTTAGAGAGAAGAAAGATTCCAAAGTCTAGCAAGCCACCTGAAAAACAACCAAAAAAATAAAAAACCACTCTCATCAAATAATAGAGCAACAACACAACAAGCACCCATATGAAGTCCCACCAATGGCTATAGAGGTAGTGGTGTAGGGGGGCACCCAGTTCCTCATCACGAGAAACACTTGCGTTCCTCATAATGGCATTTTGGAAAATAATATCAAGTTTTTTCACTTCCTGAGCTGCTGAGTCGGATTTCGTGGGGACAGTTTATGTGTCCAGCTGATGAGTAAATTTGGATGGCGTTACTTTAGACTTTAGTAGACGATTCCCTGTTTGAGCAAACGGTTAAAAAAATTACACATGTTTTCTTCTCTTCTCCTCTCTATCAATGGCGGTCTCTCTGAACTCGTAGAGTTGAAATAATCGTATATTGAAGTTGTCTAATTTCCTTGAAGTGTGACAAGTTAGTGAAGTTATCTTTTTTTTTTCGTCGCTTTAATCATTTCGTAAGTTCTGTTCTAAGGTTTTTGATTTTTGATTTGTTTTTCTATAATTCGAAAACATTTCATGAAATTGAAGTCATAATTGCGATAGAACTCAGAATACTTTTATAAGTAATGGGATTATTAGAATCCCTCTGTAAAAAATGGGTTTGAGGTTGCTGAGAATGGCTCATTCATTTTGTTTAAAATGCAATTTATAATTTCTGAAAATGGTTTGCAGTTTTGTTCTCTAAAATGTGTTGATTGATTTTTGTTAATTTTTGAAAATTGGTTGTATTACTAGGAATTCGTACCAACACGACCTATTACAATGATTAATGGCTCCCAAAGATCTCACTTACCTCCGTTTGAACGAATTGATGTAGTGTTCTTGGGGTTGAATCGCAGACCTCCGTTTGTTCAAGTTCGAATCACAAACCCCCGCTATAAATTCAGTTTAATTAACTTCTTCGAGTTGCATGTTTTTACCTTGAGAAATTCAGTTGGAACTTCCGACTTGAGTTTCGCCCAGAAATCGAGTTGAATGTTCAACCTTCAACCTTCAACCTTCAAAACCCAGTTCCTCTATTTTTTTTTTTTTTGTAAAAAAAAAAATAAGAATGTATAAACGTTGTAGTTTAACGCCATTTAAAGTGATACGTAGCCCAGTAGTACAGGGGCAATCCAAGTAATACATGGGAAATTCCAGCACATGACTTATACTAGGGGAATTTCCGTTATTGCCCTTATGAGAAACAAACTTTGTAGGGAATTTCCCGTGGGGTAGGTGGAAGAATAAAAATTGTAAAAAGTAAAAGTAGTTGAGAGAATCGGAGGAGAGAGAATATAAAATTAATAAAATATAAATTATGTTGGGCCCATTTGTTGAGAGAAATGAATTAAATAATGTAAAACATTTCCAAAATAAGGAAATTGAGTAAGTATCTAAAAACACCGCTAATGAAAAGTAGAGCAATTATTTAAAAACAGATTGAGTACATACAAAAGAGTTAGGGAGAAGAAAGATTCCAAAGTCTAGCAAGCCACATGAAAAAACAACCAAAACCTATATCATCACACATCATCATAAAAAATAAACAACCACTCATCATCAAACAATAGAGCAACAACACAACAAGTACCCATATGAAGTCCCACCAATGGCTATGAAGGCACTCCCCCCCAAAAATCATGGGAGGACTAGTGGCCACTGGGGCCTGCCTCATCATTGTCCATCTCATAAGAAAAGTCGGATGCGGGACCTCGAGGGTCCCACCCACCAGAGCCATCCATAATGGCCTCGAAAAAGATCCTCTTTCCAAGAGGCCTAAGGATGGGGAGGCATAGCCAATGGATCGACGTGGGGGTGAATCCATAATATTTGAATTGCCATCTCAAAATTGTGCCACCATAACTATCCATGGTACTACCCACTACCACCTTAAGTCTCTTTTGTACTATTGCATAAATTCAATGTAGCTCTAGAAAATTGATTTAGTTGTTTAATTGATCTCCAAGATAAAGTAGGAGTTCCTTGTTGTAGGGGTTCTTAAATCATATGTTTCAGTGCGTGCCAATCAAACCACTATTGGTTGCAGCTAAAGAACTTCAAAGCCAAACTCAGCTAAAACTTCTTCACATAATAGTCCTGGCTAAATTGGAATGCAAGCATCTGGTGACTAGGACTTCTATAGTTCTAGTCTCTAGGTAGTCAATAGCTCTTAACCAACTCTAGCTCCCTGATTGCTTTAAACTCAGATCTGTGCCCAACAGAAGATGTTTTGTGTGCTGCAGCAGGCAGCCTACAGTTCAAAGCTTAATATATTTTGTTGAACGATGCACATTTAACGGCAAATCTAAATTTTCTATCGTAATCTTGTGGCACATTCATATATAAGTAATATAATGTTTTCAACTTTCCAGAATAACCTTCCCGTAAAAACTTTCAAATCAAAGTCTGTTACTTTACTTATAAAATTTTGACAATGTTTGATGCAAATTTTGATGTGATGTTTCGTAAACTCTTTAGCAAGCCTTGAAGGTTAAAGAGCTATTGTAACAGCTAGTACTTTTTGGTGGTGAAGTCTGATCTAAATATCTAATTGATTTGGATCTATCATTGTTGAGTGATGATATTTGTTTTTCTGCAAATTCTTTATGATGGTGGAGGTGAAAGATATGAAATGTTGTAAACAACAAGGATTTAATGTAAGTGTCATATAAGCTTTATGTTTAAACTTTTGGTAAAATTATGAAAATAGAGGATTTAAGGCTATTATGTAAAGATTGAAGCTTTTTTTTTTTTCCCTTCTTCTTTTTTGATAGGCAATTGAAGCTTCATATACATTGAAATAATCAATTTCTGGTCTTGCATGTCCTCAGTCCATTCTTAATTGTATTGCTAATACTGATATTTACTGCTCTTCATGTTTAATTTACCACTTACCATTTTATGCTTCTTTCTTTTATAAAGTAAAGAAAACGCTGATTTATTTCTCTCACAATTTTACCCTTCTTTCCTAAGGGTAAAATTGTATGCATCTGGAACTCCCTGTTAGATACATACTCGATTAATCTTGGACTTTAAGAGCTGAGTTTAGGCCGTCTTGACTGTTTTTGTCCCTGAGAAGCCTGTGAACTAGCAATCTTATGTCTCTCACATGTTTACCTTTCTCACTTTCTCCCAACTGTTAAGGAGCCATGTAATTTATCCTAATTTCTTACTTGATAGCCTAGGGAAACAAACTAACTCTTAAGTCTAGATCTTGTAGATCCTGTAATTAGGGAATTGAAAAGATTGTGTTATTATTATAAGTTGGGCATGAACGTATGAAGGGTCAATGGATCCATGGTTATCCCTGGATGCATGCCTATTGAGAGGAGCTAAAAGCTGCAATAGATGGGGTTATAATGTCCATGTGTTGCAGTTGAAAACTAATGTCTCAGACACAATAATTTCAGGTATCATTTTCATTTTTCAGGCCCATACATTTGTAAACCAGCAAGCACAGCCACTCTTTGCACTCTACATTTTTAGTTTGTGGAGCTAAAAGAAGGTGAATAGTGAAACCATGTATGATCTCTTTTGATAAGTGACTACTGCATGTACTGCTGAAGCGTACTGTCTCCTTTCTGTTTCCAGTTGATGGATGTAACTTGTGCGCTGCATACTCTTTGTAGTCCAATGGACCAATAGTTGCGAGTTGGTAAGTTCTTTAATGAATCAGCAAAGCAGATTAATTTGAAATTTTCTTTGCAATTACCTAAAGTTTGGTTATAGGTTCTGGGTGACCGGACATCGGATGACCATGGGTTTCAGGTTTTAGCCAGGGCTTGCCTTTTGTAATCCAGCATTATAATTATAAATGTGGCTTGTTTCAGTAGTATTATTTTTGTTTGCGTAATAGGAAGACTTGCCTTATGCTATTATGGTAGTCAAATTAAACTTGTGTTAGGTTGAGCAAGTTGAGTGTGTATTTATGGGCTACACAACTTGGAAAATCATCTTCGATTGTTACATTCAAACATTTTCAACGATGACAATTATGTCTATTGCATTGTGAAAATAAAAAAGCTCCTTGAGTTGTCAACTTTGATTATTATGTCCAAGTAATGGAAACTATGAGGTCACTTTAATTGTTTGGTGATTTAGTAACAAAGGTCTCATACTGTTCCTTCTCTTCCTTACCTTAAAAAATTAAAATCATAACTACTTGATCTTGATGTGCGAAGAGTAACAAGGATGACTTGGTTACCAACTTGCCACTCATTTCTTTTTTTTTTTTTTTTTTTTTGTTTGAAAACGCCACTCACATTTTAAGCTAACTTAAGTAGTTATCATCCACTATTAAAGTTCATTCATTATAAAATATTTAGTTTTAACAATTTGAAAGGAATGTTATAAATATATATATATACACACACAAACTATTAGGTGTGGCAAGCCGTACCCAATTGTTTGTACGACACTCTCCCTTTTCTCTTCCCTTCTCCTTTTTTCTCCTCCGTTTTACTCCTCTCTTTCTCAATTGCGGCACCACCCCCAACTACCGTCCACAATGCAGTCGCTCGATGAATCAAACTTGCTATTGAATTGAGATTAATGATTTGGTTTATTTGTTTGAAGTTGTTTTGCTATGAATTTTGGGTGGCAATGGTGGTTTTGTGTATGCAGTGGTTGCAGTGGATGAGGAGGTGATTGGTTGCAGGTGGTTGGTTGTTGTGGCCTGTGGGGATGCGGGTTTTGGTGGCTGGAAATTCATGGGCTGCTCTGCTTGTGGTTGGTGGCAATTGGTGGTCGATTTCAGCTATGGCTGAAGATGCGGCTGATTGGTGGTGGTAAATGGCAATGTATGTATTGTGGGCGGATTATTGCGGCGAGGTGGAGTGCGCCGCTTGACGGTTGTGCAGCGGGTGATGTCGTGGTTGGTAGGTTCGGTTGGTGATGCGGTGGTTGGTGGGTTCCATGGCTGGTGGCCAGGTGCAGTAGACGGTGGGATTGGTGGTGGGATTTTTTGACTTTTATCTCAAGAAAAATAAAAAAATAGTTTTTTTCACAAAATCTTTTAAAAGTTTTATTTTCCCACCAAAAAAATTTCTAAAAATTGTTTTTTACCACTTATCGCAAGAAATTTTCGTGTGCAAAACATGTTCTTCATTGGTTTAGCGGGGCATTTTGGCTATCTGAGTCCAATTTGAGATCAGAATTGACAAAAACAAAAAAATCAGAAATGCCTCGTTTAGCATGTTTTACGCAAATTGAGGTATCTTTAAACACGTAAAATGAAGCATTTTCTATCATTTTTTGTCAATTTTGACCTTAATCCTAAAAACCAAAATGCCCGCCAAAACCCCTAAAGTCCATGTGTTTGCCACGAAAATCAAAGAATTTAAAAAATTTCGTTAGATTTTTGACGGCGGGTGGTAAAAAACAATTTTTAATTTTGGGTTTTTCTAAGCTATACCCCTAAGGTATTCGAGTTTCTAAGGTATACCCATGCTTTTTCAAGTTTCTAAGATGTGCCCTTCAACTCCTTATCAATACTAAAGTATACCCTTATTAGTTGTATAAAAGTTATTTGAGAGTGTGATTTCGTGGCTTCAGTTTTCATTATTAGGGTTGCAGTGGCTAAGATTTCTTTCTCCTACCACTTTCTTACCTTTTATCATCTTTCTATTAAATTTATAGTTAACTTTAGGTGACGTGGAAGTACCAAGGAGGGTACCATTCATTAATGGTAGCGAGTTGAGGGGCACAACTTAGAAACTTGAAAAAGCATGGGTACACCTTAGAAACTCGAATACCTTAGGGGTATAGCTTAGAAAAACCCTTTAATTTTTTTTTTTGTTTTTGGTGGTAAAATAAAACTTTTAAAAGTTTAGGTGGTAAAAATTAATTTTTTGATTTTTTCGTGGTAAAAGTCAAAATATATTTTGGACTTATGGACGGTGGTTGAGCTTATTGGTTTGTTGTTAATGAGAAACCCTATTCTCATTTAATTTGAAACGGAGAGAAAGAAAGAGAGGAAGAGCGGGAAAGAGGAGAAAGAAGGAAATAAAAAAAAAATATATTGTATGTTGTCAATTATTAGCGACCAAATGACGTATATCAGCCATTAAAATGAACATATCAACCAATTGATGTATGATATTAGTCAATATTAGAGACATATTAGACATCAATAAAAACGTATCAGTCAACGCAAGGAACATATCAGCTAACAAATAAAATATATCAGCCAACAAAAGGAACATATCATCAAACAAAAGATACATATCAGCTAATAAAAGAAACATATCAACCAACAAATAAAACATATCAGCCAACGAAAGGATGAAATAAGCAAATAAAAGCAACATGTAAGCTAACAAAATAAACACATCAGCTAACACAATGAAGTTGATAAGCCAACAGTTAAAATATACATATCAACTAATGAAATAAAGATATCAGCCAACTAAATAAACATATCAGTTGTCTGATATCAGCCAAAAAAAGAAACATATTAAACATTAAAAAAATATCAGCCAACAAAAGGATATCAACCAACACAAAAAAAAATATCAGCCAACAAATGTAACATATCAGTCATATCAGCCAATTTTGTCGTACGCATAATTTGCGTACAACAGTTTGCATTCAATACCTTCTCTTATATATATATATATATATATATATATAGGTATAATTTTTAAGGAAAATTAAATTTAATCCCTATTTATTTTTTTTATTTTTTGAGGAAAATCCCAATTTTAGGTCATTTGCTTTAAATAATCCTAAGGGTCTGTTCTCATTGATTGAAATGAGCTGAACTTGTTTCGGAGTTTTTTGGAATCCCTTGGGATACTGATCACGCTCTATCAGCAATGAGACTCGGACACCTGCAAAAACAGGAATCTCCGGTGGTCGGAGATCCGCCTCCGACAATCAAGTTAGTGATCGGAAAACGGAATAAATGTAGAGAGAGAAATTGGAGTTTTTAGTGCTTTATTGAATGTTATGTCACAATCCACCCCTCCCATAATCAATGATTGGAGTATTTATAGGGGTGGGGATTTGTGCCCTTTAGGGTAAGTGACCTAGAATTTAGTGTCCTGATTGCGCGGAAAGGACAAGTGTCCCTTAGGGGGGCCGCTTTTGAGGCATTCTAGGATTTTGGGCCTCCTGATGTAAGAAGGCCTTATGTCATTCTCTTTATTTTAGGTTCTCCATTCCTCTTACTATGTGTCATCTTCCTACAGTGACATGTGTCGCCTATTAATTGGGCCACGTGTCACCACGGGATTAGACCACGTACTCTGGGTAATTTTTACCCTAAACATTTTCCCCTTAGAGGGGGTGGCTCGTCCCATTTGGGCCTCCTCCTCTGACCTTACTCGTTCGAATACATTGGGCGCATTTGGAGCATTTTGAGTTGTTGGTAGGGGTTGGACAGGATTGTCCGTCCACCTTATTGGGCTGAGTGCCACAGCCTGCCGCCTTCAAGGAACCTAGCCTGATCGTCAGTCGGACAGGATGGGCCGAATGGCCTTCAATTAGGCCAGGTGCCTTGATTGACTCATCCGACGTCTTCAAGGAACTTAGCCTGATCGACAGTCGGACAGGATGGGCCGAATGGCCTTTAGTTGGCAACCAGTTGTTCTCCATTTTTCAAGAAAATGGTTCAACTTCCGAGGCAGATGATGAATTTGACGGGAAATTATGACGCCCGTTCGGATTCCATCTTTAATGCGCGGTTATTCGTGTGGATTCCGTCAAAAGAGGCGGAACAGTTGAAAATCGTTCGACTTTTAGGTTAAACTTTTTCGAAAGTTAATCGTTCCTCATTTCTTAAGCGGGAATGCCCTTTTTTTTTTTTTTTTTTTTTTACCATTTTAACCCCTCAAATTTTGCCTATAAATAGCAAGGCTTTGACCTCACTTTTTTCAATTTGCATTTTAACTTTCTAGAGAGAAGTCAGAGCTTCTAGAGAGAGAAATTTACTTTTGCCCGGAATCTTCAAGAACTCCGCCGTACGATCGAGTTTTTCGTTCAAGCCTTCGAGTTTTCCTGCCATCCTTCATCCAAGATCTCCAGAGTTTTTCAACTTTCTACTCGTACAAGGTAACCAAATACTCTCCTCTTCCTTCTTGATTTTTATATACTTGTTTCATTTGTTATTGAACACACTAGCTTAGCAATCGGCATCGTCCGTTTCTCCTCATGAGGCCGTCTGTTCGCCAGGGACTGAGGAATAAAGAGTGGACGGGGGATGAGTCCTCGTCTTTGTGGAGTGGGTCCATTTTTAGTGCGTACCAACTCCCCCCTATCTATTCTTCTATGTCCCTGCAGGCGGACATGGCGCGTACGAGGTAAACTTACGACCGACATGCTACCCGTAATCCAGACAGCAGCTTGATAGAACCCTTAGCTATTTATGATTCAAATAACACAGACTCGGAGAACACCAACACAAACACCTCGGCCAGTACGAGTGGTAGTTGTAGAGAATATTTCAAGCATCCCACACTTAAGCCCCACTATTATCATACACTTAAGCATGGTGGCGTCCAAAGGGAAGGAAGTTGGAGTAAAAGAGTTGCCAACAAGTTTTAGGAACTTGTAAACCGTTCACAGGGTGAAGGTTACACCCCTTCACGATCCATGAGATCGCTAACTCCATAGTGGTTCGGAACCATGGCTGGATATTCAAGGACGAAGGTACAAATCCAACCTTAAAGAGATTGAACCAGCCCTAAAAATAGGCATCTACTTTATTCTTCTCGTATTCATGTGCGTTTTTTTGACTAACATGCAATCAATATATTAACCCTTAACCTGTTTATCTATGTTGGTTCAATATTAATGAACAAACAAAACTATTATTGGAGGCCACTTAAATTATAATCATATTAGCCTAAATAATATAATTAATTATCTTATTAAACGTGATTACAAGTGCAAATTCCCTTTAATCATGCATAAAAGGCGTGAACAAGCAATGACAACAACATGTAATATCAAGCAACATAACAAATCATCATCATCATAATCATAATAATCTCAATAAAGCAATAATAATATTAGGCAAGATACTAGGCTTGATACTAACA